CTTCAACAACTTTATCGATTATTATTTACGCTGAACACTCATTTCATTACCCATATGGTATATATATATATATACATATGTAAGGTATAGTTCTAGGAAACCAGGATGTATTTCCATTTGTTCTTCATGAGGGCGTTAGCTGTAAACCCAAAGCCCCCCGCAAGAACCCAGCCATCTAATTTTTTAATATTTCTTTTCTGGGAAAAGTGCCAAGTAGAAATAATCCGCTTACATGAAAATTTCTCGTTCGATGTTCCTAAAAATACAACAAAATTAACTTATCCCGTTGATCACAAGCATGCCTAGATACCGCAGTATGATGTCTGTTTCGCAATAATACACAGCTTGAAATCCTTTATTTCAAATTAGGAGAATACTGGAACCGAAGAAGATTGTTAGAGTTACGGTTATTTATGTGTGAGGAAGGGGAGGGGCTAACATGTTTTTAATTATTTGTTTTTATTTTGTTTTTTACATGTCAGAGAAAGTTTGTTCTCAGACAGTTTTTTTTCTCGATAAAGCTAAAAAATTAACTAAATAGTAAGTATCCGTATTAGACCATTTGTGTATGCTGTAAAGTGGTACATAATGATTAATTGTTTTAGCTTTCTACCTAGCTGTTTTATTATATAGAGTAATTATTAATGATGCGTCTGAAATACAATAGTAAGTAATGAAAAATCGCGGTAATCATTTCTCGTTTACATTGTATATGAATGATTTGCCAGAATAAGTCTTCATTACTGTGTCTCGTGTACTTTTTACACTTCTGTCAACATTTAATGTGAGACAACGACTCTTTTTAATGATTGCTTGTTTATTGTTGAGGGCAAAGATACACAATGGGCTATTTGTGCTACGCCCACCACGCGTATCGAAACTCGATATCTAGCATCATAAATCCAAAGACTTGCCGCTGAAACACTGAGGGGCTAATTTTAATGTCTACTACATAAATTTGTTTATAAAATAAATCATTTGAAAATTGTTTGTTAAAAATAGATGTTAGGTTAATTTAAATTAAACAGAAATGTGTGTGTATATATAAAAAACAGGGAGCCTTGAAAATAAAATGAAAACTGGTTTTTACTTTAAGAAACAAAATGAGTATTACAGAAAATATATTTGGTCTTCAATGTCAAAGTGGTTGAATTTCGCGAATCAATTAATTAAAATTATAAAAGGAATTAAATACTTTGTAAGAAAAACACGAGAAATAATTTTATGCTAAATAGGCACCAATAATCAATAATGGGTCAGAAATATGTAAAATCATTATGAGTCAGGTTTTTGAAAGATTATGTACTAGTTTTCTTTAACATGGGTTACTAGTTGGAAGAAAGTCACAGATATATTTAAATATATGTCCTTTCCAGTTGGCTCAGGGGGTAAATTTGAGGGCATATAATGCTAAAAATCGAGTTTCGATACTCGCATTGGGCAGATCAGAGATAGCCCATTGTGTAGGTTTGCTCTTAACAACAAAGAAATATTAAGAAATACATTTTAATTTGTAGATTTATTTTTACGTAGAAAATATATTGGAAGAATTAAGGAGTTAAAAAACTTTTTGCTCAATTTCAAAAGAAAGTTGGTTAATTTTAAGATGTCCCGTATCCTGAGATCATATTACAAAATACACAACTCCAATTTGTAAAAACAGAAAGAACTTCAATAAGTCTTTTTTGTAATTTGATAGAAAATGGTTTTAAATGGAATACTTCGTAAACGAAAAATGTCCTCAAGTTTAAATAACTTTAAATGGAATTATAATAACGTAACACGTCTCCATGATGGACATAACGAAGCTAGCTCATTGAAAAGCTTTAAGCTAAAATATAACAAATAAAAAATGCAGCTACTTTCTTACTGGCTGAATCAAGTCCACAAGCCGCTGAGAACTCCACCACCAGTCTTTTGGGGGCCCCCACAATAGTTAACAACTGTGGTTAAGGGCCTTCATATAATTTTGGTCCTCGGGCTCCGTGAATTCTAATAGCACCCCTGTAAATATTTAATTATATAAGTCTATTAGGCATTATAATTTTTGATGAAGGAAAGTTTGTAATATATCATTGTGCATTTTTGTGTTTTTGTGTTTTTTTTGTTTCAGAATTTAGCGCATAGCTACACAAGGGCTATTTGAGCATAGCCATCCCTAATTTTTGAATTGATAGACAAGAGGGAATGCAGATATCCAACGGCAACAAGCACTAACTCTTGGGCTAGTCTTGTCTGATCAATATTGGGATTTTACTGTCACTCTTATAGCGCACCCATGATTTTAAAGTGCCGAGCGCGTTTTAGCAGAAACGTGTCGCGAACCATGAATCTTCGAGCTCATAGTAGAGGCAAGCTAACAGTTCGACCAAGCCTAGCCCCATTAAAGAGCGAGTTTATGTATATTTAATGTTTTACATCTATGTTCTGCTTAACTTGTATTTATTTATATTTACTCAGTAGCTTTTAGTGTTCTTGAATGGTGTATAAACACTCGAAATGTACAGCATGATTGTTTTTTTTTAATCGCATTTGAAATAAGATGGGATATAAAGAAATAATACGTAAACGTTATGCAAAACTTTTTCTATATGCTCTTTATTATTTCTACCGGTAATAGTCTTATTCGGACTGTGGCACTTAACATCTCTAAATTATCATAAACTTTAACATTTGCCTAATACTACTACCACGTGTAAAAACATTAAAATAGACTGGGTGTTGGCAACAAGCCACTGAAATTAGTGCGTAATTTAAATCAAAGTGTAATCTCGCGTTATCTAGAATTTTAAGAGTTAATCTACAACCGGAAGTACACATCTTCTGTGCCTCTCAAGGAAAACAAAAAATAATTATTATTTTCTCATTATAAAACTTGAGACCTGATGAAAAAAAACAACAACAACAACAACAAGAAACCTGGGAGGAGATGGTTATCATCTCTTCACGTTTATGCTTCGCTCTAAGTGTTTGTTACAAATTGATGCCTTCTCAAGCTGACAAATGATGGGTTTACGAGGGTCATTGCTCTTCTACCACTGCATTATTAACTGTTCGTTTATGGAACATTTATTAAGAAAAGTTCACTGCCCCAGATCGCACGTGTTTCCGGCAACTTGTTACTGTATGAATAAGCATTTTGTTAGAGTTGTCTTTTTCTTCTTTCTTTTTTTTAATGGTATCTTACTGACATTGTTTATAAGTATATATTATAATGCTGTCAGACCCTATTTTTATGAATAAAGATTACAAATACACATTAGACTAAAAAAATCCTAATAATGTATGTTTATTTCAATATAAATAAATGAGATTGATACAAAACATTATTAAAATAACGAAGATTCTTAGGGAAAAGAGAGAAATTAATTTTATAAGGTGATCGATTCTTCTTCCAGGATGTTCCCACAGATAGAATTCCTCGTGTTTATCGCATGCATATAATAACGATCGCTTATGATTGTTGTTGTTGCATGACTTTGATTAGATAATAGAGTTTACTAGATGATCTAGTTTTTGCTTAACATCGATGTCTTGTTAAAACTGTAGGTTCTGGTTAAAGTTTGATCTGTATATTACTGAAAATTATAGATTCTGTTTATTGTATAGCTTAGACATCAATAAAAACTGGAAGATGTTATTACTATTATTACTAGAAGCCCGGTTGTTGTTTAACGTCAGCATCAGTAAACACTGCAGTTCCTGATAGTTATATAGAACTATTTAATTAGTCAGTGATCACTGGAGAGTTTGATTGTTGAATGATATTTTAAGTGAACAGTACAAGTTCTGAATGTTGTATAACTTGTAGTTTAATTATCACTAAAGACCCTAATTGTTGTACACAACGATGTTAGTCAGTGATCACTGGAGAATTTGATTGTTGAATGATGTTTTAAGTGAACAGTACAAGTTCCGAATGTTGTATAAACTGTAGTTTAATTATCACTTAAGGCTCTAATTGTTGTGTACAACGATGTTAGTCAGTGATCACTGGAGAATTTGATTGTTGAATGATATTTTAAGTGAACAGTACAAGTTCTGAATGTTGTATAACCTGTAGTTTAATTATCACTAAAGGCTCTAATTGTTGTGTACAACGATGTTAATCAGTGATAACTGGAGAATTTGATCACTAATGATTTTCGTTATTGTAAATAACGTAGATATTAGTGATTATTAAAAGTTATAGGGGTTGTATGATGTAAATGTTAGTGTTCATTGGATACCCTTGTTGCTTTATATAACTTTGATAGTAGTAGTTATCGGAAGATCTGGTTGTTGCATTATATAAATGCTGATGATCTCTGGGGTTCCAGTTGTATATAATCTAGATCTTAGTGATCACTGGAGGTTCCGGTTTCTTGTATGTAGTCTTGATTTTACTGATCAGGAGAGGTTCCAGTTCTTATATAAAATCTGGTTCTGGTTTATATATGGCGTGCATATTAGTTATTACTGGAGGTTCTGGTTTATATATGACATGCATATTAGTTACTACTGGAGGTTCTGGTTTATATATGACATGCATACTAGTGATCACTGAGATTCTGGTTTTCATATGACATGCATATTAGTGATCACTGGGTGTCCTGTTTTTTATATGACATGCATATTAGTGATCACTGGGTGTCCTGTGTTTTATATGACGAGCACGTAATATACACAAACCTGTAACAAATATGTCAATATTGAAAGGGTATGGGAGATATAAGAAGTTTTTTGGTTGTCATATTTGTAAATAACAAAAGCACCAAGTCTTGCACATACTAGACAGATAAATAATAAAACGTTACAAAATATAGAATGAGAAATATTGGACATTCTTGGTGGAAGAGGTATCTGCAAACTTAGGACCTACACCATTGTGGAGAAACACCGTCTGCTAGATTTGGCATCTTTTTTTTTTTTTTTTGCGAGCTTCACACGTAAACTGAAGTTAAAAAAATAATTTAAATTTGGGAGCAAGTGTGCCGACAAATGTAAATGTCTAATTTGACATGCCCGTTGGGTTATACATGAATGTGCAGGTAAGTAAAGAACATGGAAGATATGCAGTTATTGTTGCTTTGTTGTTTTTTCTATGGTTAGAGCAGAATTTATATATACCCACAGATAATATACTGCTGTCATACAGCTGTTAAAGATAAATTCCGAAACCCTGTAGGTGTAATGTTTATATTTTTAATTCATACTTGCTTCAGCTGGTTAAGCATGTTTTTTGCTCTTTTTAGACAATCACTATGACTAAAAAGGAGGTCCTTGGCCTCTTGGTTTTATTCATCGTGTACGTGTTGATAGGTGGGGCTGTTTTTATGGCTCTTGAAGCCCCCTTGGAGGAGAAGATGAGAGTACAGTTGAAAGAAACCCGGAAAAACTGGGAAGGTAGGAAGAATTATATGCTTCTTGTTTTTGTTACCTGTATAAGGTAATGATAAAAATATACCACTTCCAGTAATAATTTGATCACATTTGTTTATTATAAAAATCCCTTATTGTTGTAGAACATTTGGAGATGTTTTATTTCGTAGCTCAAGTCACAAGTTTTGTATAAGTTATTTTTTTCAATTGTCGTTTCTCTACAGTACTTACGGACTTTCTCTTTTAGTTTTGATCAGACTTTAGCGCCATCTTGAAAATTACCAAATGTCGACTGGCAGAAGATCAAATAATACATTAAAATCGTTTAGAAGAGAACTGAATGTATGTGTTAAAGTTTTAATATATTTCTTTTATCTCTATGTAACACTAGCTTGCTGGCTCGCCCGTTCTCGTGAATGTTAGTAAAGTGAAGTAAAAAAATAAATAATTAGATAAATAAATAAACGGTCTAAAAAGAATAAACTAAATAATGCTGTGTTTATTTCTTACGTAAAAATCTGATTTATAAATGACTTAAATAATATTGATAATAATTACAGTTATCATGCTTAATCTGATTCACACCCTAAAAGTTGTTGTTTATGAGAAATGGTGGTTTATATATATATATATATCATCATAGTGCCTAGACCACTGCTATATCTGTTATATTGCAGCCTGTCTGATGAACCCTGATATTGGGCGAAAAGCCTTGTCGGCATTGAATATGGCAGATGCAGTGTTGTTGACATATGATACATGGCCAGGTGGTAAGGGAGCTCAACTTGC